TTTGCAGAGATATAGATGGAAAGGAGAATGACTAATAAAGGAAGCTCGGACATAATTGGTATAAATGAAATCGAAAAATAATGATAACAACCTTGATGTGCTTCTGTTTAACTGCCATATGAGGGGGAAAATGAATTTGTGTACTTTCCACCAAATGCCCAGCTTATGTGCGTAGTGGCCAGTATTTACTAATCACGGGTATACAATTCCCAACTTCATTTATCAGTCCATAAATACAAATCTTATTCGTGGTGTGTTCTTGTGTATACAATTTGGACGTTGAATTAATAGGAATTTTCACTGAAAATATTTGTTTATAAGAGAAGCAGGACTATAACTATCTATATATACTTAAGTTATAAAATAATATATCATTTTGACAGTAATTACAATGTTTGCATGTTTTTTCATAAATTTATTACACATTAACGTTATAGATGGACAAGCATTACTCTTTTAAGAAGTTTCAAGGCACTGATTTTGGCCATTCCCCACACACCAAAGTTAGACTTGTGAATTTCCATCAGTACAAACATTCATTTTGACTAGAATGTTTAAAGTGATTTTGTCCTCAAAGCGGTAGGAATTGTGCAGATAGAGTTATCGTTGGACATTGCAGAGACAGTGACACCTTTCCCACTGAAATTTAGTCGCGACATTGTTCTTGTAATTGGTATTGAATCTGATATATTGCGCACTGAAAATTCCCTTTTTATGGAAATGGGTAATTGAGCTTGTAGTAATTCGAATTAGGGGTAACGATGACCGCTGTTTTGTAACCGCTGACCTATATACACTTCGTAAGCACTTTGTAATGAGGAAATATATAACATTTCAATTTAGAATGCAAAATTAATAATCCGTCGTTTATTAGTTTATAGATCCAAGTTGTATTAAGTTTTCTAATTTCAATAGATAACAAATATAAACATAATTGCTTTCCTCGAAGCTTGCGTAACTACCGAACATGTATTTAGTATTTACTGCCTTTATGGAAGTGCTTCTATTCTATTTCTTCTTGCGTCCAGTTTTCATAGAAGTGTTGTGTTGTCTGTAAATTTGCGTTTGATAGCTAAACAATGAACGAGTGCTTTAATCATACTATGCCTTTCGGATATTTGGCTATTGCGGCAGGAATTTAGTGAAACTTCATTGTTGTTCGGATGTTTAGAGTTTGTGGTCCAATGAATGACCACAGCGGAAATCGTTTTTTAAATTACCAGAAGCCTTTTCACATAAAATTTTGGAAAATGCTTTATGTAGTACGTCGTGAAATTGTCTAGTATTTGTGATATCGAATGCATTATTGAATACGAAGACACCACTACTTCTATTATAAATGTAAACAATTCAATGGACAAACCGAATTCAATTTATGACGCATTTTCCATTTTTACAGAGTTTTAATTCGTGAATATATATAGAAATGATGATCATTAAAGTCTGGTGTGAAATTAGGAGACAAGTCGGAAAACAAAATTGCATAAATATACGAAAATGTATTAAGAATTGATTTAATATTAACACATACATGGAAGGGCGATGAATAACGTATGCAACTAGGACACAATTAGATTTGAGATTCTAATAAATCTCGATCCTCGTCTTATTCCGTCTTGTATTTCATCACAGAAGGCAATTTTTGCTTTTATCAGAGATTTTATCGCCTGTTATGTTGAATATGGATCTAAATAAATCACTTTACCAATTGCACGGTATGGGTTAGGTAATCAACAGGGCTAACTAACTAGATTCCTTTGCAAATATTTTATCAGCAAGACTTCGACCACGCCGTAAAATGTCGATCTCACCGATTCGAATCAAGTTATTGCCTCTCCTTTTTTCTGTTTTAATATGTACAATAGTATATTTATTCTCGTATTGCTATTTAAAAACTATGCCACCCTACCATGTTTTTCGCTAATACAGACATACAATATAGCAGCATAAAAGTCAAGAATCAAATGTAAGCAAAATGTCGACCTAACTCGACGATGACGTTTTACTGGAGCTTTCAAAGTTATGCGCAGTTCATTATTTTGTTTGATATTGATATCTGGGATATAAGCTCGTAATAGATACAGAAATAAACTCAAATCTTTTCTCGTATCCGTCGTGCTTTCTCTTTGAAAAACGCTGAGTGTTTGCCTATTAAACTATTCCTAATTTACAGGGGGTCAAGGTTGCTGGTACTGATTGAAAAAAGAGCTGTGATAAATTAGGATCACGGATTTTATCATCACGCCACCATGTAAGAGGATAAATAATTATTATTCTTGCATCCAACGGCCGGATTTATCGAGCGAGGCGGGCTGAAGCCTAGTGACCTCGACATTCGAGTTTGAACTATTTTTCATTTTTAGTTGCTTTGAAATTGTATAGACTTGTTCCAGAATAAAACCGGTTTAACATTAAAAAAAAATTTACAAAATTTTAACTGGGTTGTCTGAATTTGAAAAAAACTCCACCCTTTTATGCATAAAAACAAATATGCTGATTTGAATTAATTAAACGCGAGTTTCGCGATTACAAAGGGCTATCATGCCGTCGTGTTTCCCGGTTTTTTAATGGATTATAAGTTGGGGACCTCTGTTCTAGTGGACATTCCGTTTGCAAACTAATTTTGCTGGCCCTGGAAGGACCTCGCTTTTAATGCTTCCAACAAAATTTGATTCTAAATTCATTTTTGTTTGCACACGAATTTATGTCGCAAAAATCCGCACCGTAAGGCGTTTGTTTTGAACTGAGTACCGTCAGTTGCATGTCGCTTACTTATTGACAACAACATCATTTTTCACATTGATGATAAATAAATAAAAATAATGTAGGCCTACTGCGTTTGGTAATAAATGGGGGATGGTCAAAAACACGGCTCATTAGTGGCATGCTTCCAAGACAGGGATTGGAGTCGCCACTCGGTCATAATTTGAAGTTTAATGTGGCGATTGTTTGCAGGTGGAAATTAATGCGTCCCGCACCGTAAATGTGTGTGCATTTGGCCCACTGGTATATGATGTTTGCTGACAGAAAAATAAAACTTGTACAGTTTTTAACAGTCCATGTTATTGAAGCAGTTATATTGTATATTTGAAGTTTTATAACTTCCGTAATTTTAATTGGACGGTACTATGTCTTCCTTATTGATATTAGCATAGGAATTCCGCTGGATGGAGTGAAACAGACATAAATTGCTATGCGATAAAACGGAAAATTATGCATCATAGACAAGCCTATACCTGCCGAAGCGTCTTATAAGCATGTATAAGATAGGTATAAGCAGTGATGAGCTGGAAAAATCGTAACAACAGGAACGCACCTAATTTGCAAAAATGTAATATATTTACAACACGACGCTGACGTTTACAGAAAAATTTTGTCTGGCTTAAAATAGAGCCGAAGAACTACAATGAAATATGAAGAAATGATCTGAACTATGTCTGTGTAAAATTAAACACCCAACTGTATACTTAAAAAACTGATACGAATACCTGAAAATGTATCGAAAACAGTTATTGGGTGATAATAGGCATTTATGGCCACAGAGTAAGTAAGATTTAATTTTTCAAATTGAACTCGCATTGAGATGAAGGTAAAATATATTGTCAGGCTTTAAAACAGCAAGTGCCACACTCATGGCAATAAAATATGTTTTGTTTTAGTGATGCAGGAGATAATAAATGCGCAAGAAGTGTTGAGTCGGCAAGATGAGTCTGACTATGACCTTTCTGCATTCTGCAAGATAATATGACCAGAACGCAACACTTTGGCGAAGTTCGACGGCGATACAAGCGGTATTTGAAGAAAAAATACAAAAGATACAGAAAAATGAAATTTAATAAATCGCTATCCGAATTGAGATAATTATTTATTGTTGACAGTTAAGATCATGTGATTCAGTGGACAGTAATGCTTGTGATATCGAAAGAATTTATCTTTACCCCGTATTGCCGCTCAGTTTGCTGGTTAAGATCAGGCGCGGTCAAATTACGGACCGCGGGACGGATCCGGCCCACCGAAGTGTTACATCTGGCCCACTTGTGTCGTGTGCTGAAATAATGAATATATATAGTTTTAAAAGTATAAATTTCTGTTAGAAATATCGATAAAAATGACGTCATAATGACCCCAGTTGTTGTTAGATTGCGTATTTAAACGTTAGCCTAGCTTTTGTAAGCTTTACTGGTTTTAATACTTTTAGGTGAGCGAACACGTAGTACTGCTTCAATCAAAACCTTCCCACCTAAAATATGTACGCATCAAACCCTACTTGGGGTTTTGTTTGCTCTGCCGATTCGATAATCAGTTTTATTTTTTTGTTTTTATCAAATATTTTATCGAATATTATGCTGATTATGGAGTCAAAATAAACTTATACTTGATAAATATTTTATATTTATAGTTTTCTATATTGAGTTTTTGAGCCTCTGGCCCAGTAACCAAGTCTATTATCTGTAGCTGGCCCATTCAGTTAGAGTAATTGTCCACCCCTGGTCGATGATTTAAATGGGTTGCCCGGTAAAAAATGCATGGTACGTCAGAAATAAGCGGCTTTTGAGGATAGTTTTTTCATATTTATACATGGAGGGGGGGTGGTGGGAGTCATTAACATGGATTATTTATATGCCGCACCAGGCCTCTGTCCAGTTACCAGTCAATGTCAGGTATGGCCTTAGATAATTTGTTTCAGAAGCATGTGCTTCATGATAAACGCCAATAACATCCAGAAAAAGTATGACTCAAATTAAAAAAATTAGGCAACAAGGTATAGCCCGCCAACCACACAGTATTGCTATAGCAAGAAAAGTACATGGTGGGAGTTATGAAAAAATAAAGTTTTAAAAACCAACCATGAAACTTTTTACCTCACCTCAACCACCTTTTCTGCAATCAGGTCAATTGAAATACTAAAAGGTAACTGACACAATAGTCATGACTTCGCACTATTAGTATACTAATAACACAAAAATGTTAATGTCCACATACAGAAATGAATCTAAAAAAAAAACTCTAAATTGAACTTTATTCGGATGCATACAAAGAAAATAACGCTCTTCCTACTTAATAAACCCATAGCGAAGGCGGAACTTGTGGCAAATAAATCACGAAAGTGCAGTGTCATGAAGAACCAAAGAAAAAATAATCCAGTTGGAATTTATATAAATGCTTTATGAAACAAACAAATACTGCTTCCACCCAACCATCCCTATTTGGCATAGTATGGATCTAAATATTGACAAATATGCACCATACGTTTTGTATTCACTAGTCTTTTGTAATGCAGTAATTCTTATTTCGGATTATACAGCATTAGAAACTTATAATACTACTTTTCAGAATATGACCTAGTATGGCTGTTTCTAAATCTTACACAGTTTCACAAAAGAAAGGACATATAAAGATGTTATGAATGCTGCAACAAAAATGACTGAATAATTTACTCTCTTGAACCACATTTCATGAACAATATTATCATAAATCGAAACAATTGAGTTTCAAATCTGAATAGACATACCAACATAAGATTGGACAGATAATAATGTACCTAATTTAAATTACAGTGACGCGGCTTGAGAAAGAGCTGCAACACCAGGAAGCGTTTTCCCTTCAAGTAATTCGAGACTCGCACCTCCTCCTGTGCTGACATGACTCACTTTATCTTCAGTGTTCCATTTTGCACAGCAGGTTGCAGTGTCGCCTCCTCCAATGATTGTAGTGCATCCACTCTTTGTAGCACCAACGACCTGATCCATAAGTGCCTTTGTGCCTTTAGCAAAGCTTTCCATTTCGAAAACCCCTGGAGGGCCATTCCACACAATGACTTTGGCTCTACGAATTGCTTCTTCAAAAATCTTGTTACTTTCTGGACCAACATCCATTCCAATCCAGCCATCAGGTATACCTTCACTCACAGTTGCAGCTCCAACTTTGGCATCATCAGCAAATTTGTCTCCTGTTATAAAATCAACTGGGAGATGGATTTTGACATTTTGAGATTTGGCTTTATCCATCAACTCCTGTATGATCTTAGCACCATCTTCATCATATAGTGAGCTTCCAATCTTCATATTATTCAGAACTTTCAAAAATGTGAATGCCATTCCCCCGCCCACTATCATCTCATCCACTTTATCAAGCATGTTCTTTATCAACTGTATTTTGTCTTTGACTTTAGCACCTCCTAAAATAGCCAAAAACGGTTTTTCTGGATTTTCTAGTGCTTTAGCAAAGTATGAAAGCTCCTTTCTCAAAAGAAATCCAGCTGCTTTTTTGTTGTGATCTGTGCCAACCATTGAGCTGTGTGCTCTATGAGCAGTTCCAAAGGCATCATTTACATAAACATCTCCAAGCTTTGACAAACTCTTGCGGAATTCTTCAATTTTGTCATCATTTGCTTTAACTTTGTTTCCTTCGGCGTCGACACCTTTGCCCTCTTCTTCAACATGAAAACGCAAGTTTTCTAAAAGAAATATAGATCCAGGAGGGGGGTCAGCACATGCGGCCTCAACATCTTTTCCAACACAATCTTTCAAAAACGTCACGTTTGTCATAAGAAGCTTCTGCAGTTCACATGCAACAGGGGATAACGAATATTTCTCCTGTTTTCTACCATCTGGTCTTCCTAAATGGCTCATCAAAACCACAGATTTCGCGCCATTCTCAAGACAATACTTTATCGAAGGCAATGCTGCAGCAATTCGTTGGTTGTTTGTAATAACTTTATCTTTCAAGGGGACATTAAAATCGACACGAATCAAAATTCTTTTGTCTTTCACGTCCAACGTGTCTATGCTAAGCTTATTCAAAGACATCTTCTTGCACAACCTTGCTCACTTCTGTTTTCAAAAACCAGCAGCGACCAAAGCAAGCTGAGCGGCATACGTGACTATGCTCTCATCTACATATGACCTCAAATAACCTTTCAGCTATTTCGTCGCGCCAGTAAAACGTTTATTAAAATTCAGATCGCCTCGTTATAACTTGGCATTATCGTCGACGTTTTCGCCTTTTTTTTCAACAAATATATTTTTTTTCAACTCGAGGTTCATCCAATTAAAAATAGAATATGGTTATTTTGTATGTTAGTGGTTTGTCAGTCATTTCTACAAATATATTAAGAGCGCGGTTGTATTTTGTATATGTTTTTTCAGGGAAATTAAAATAACCTAACGCCCGAATCGGGTGATGGGCTGAGGCAATTGGTGTGAACATAGTTGTACTTAAAATATGGTTAGCTCACGCTTTTTACGCCTTTGCTTGTGGACACGTCAGTGTACATAACGATCGTTTCAATATTATGTTGTTGTTGTTCATATTCTTCTCCGTCACCATGAAATCACTTTTCTCTTCGAATACAAGACCAATTGCTTTGAAATTTTTAGTGGTTAAAGATTGATTTTTCGCCAGAAGGCTATTACTTTTACTTATTTCAAAAATTTTTGTGGATTTCGAGAGATTCGTTTTCTATAGGTCAGAATAAAAAATAGCGACACCTTGTGACGTGGTCATATATTTGAGCTTAGCTCTCATGTTTATGTTACACTGTTCTTTCGGTATCCGTTCTTTGAATTTATAATAGTTTATGAGACCAAGCAAAACTTTGAGTAATGTTTGAAGCGTACACAATTTAAATTAGAAGGATTTGTCAAAAGTCGTGGTACGTTAGCTCATTCAAAAGAATTAAATTAATTCACACGTACACACACAACCATAGATATATAGCACGGGTCAACAACAAATTTGAAGTCTGCGTTTTTCAAGTTGATTTAGGGTCAATCTGGCGTGCTGAATCCAGAAATCACATTAGTTTTGCGCAATCAGGTCAAGTTTTTGAGAAGTGGCCACATGTCGTTTTTTACGATTTTGTCACATTTACGCATGTTAAAGCATTTAGAATAAATTGGTAGGGGTAAAATGATGTGTGGAATACGTTTTTTTTGCTTATGGACCTGGTTAGCTTTTAAAAGTGTTTGACCTTTAGTCATTGATTTATTTAATTTTTTTTACAATTCGTTTCATGTGAAATCTTGCAACTTTGTTTTTTTTAATCAATGTTCATTGATAATTTTGCCTTTTTTGTTTATTTCATCTTCTGTGTGAGTTTATTGATGAATACCCTCACCTATTATTCTTTTGCGAGTAAATGAGATGGCTTCGTTTCAAAGACCTCCATTAGCGACGAAGATACCTCCAGTTTCAAAGGATATGAAGAAGGAAACATGAATTTGGAGGATGATGCTCAACATCAATTTTCCCAAAAGGAGTTGAATGATCTAGTTCGCGACCTCATATTGCCAAAGGACTCTCCCACACTGTTGGCTTCCAGATTGAAGGAAACAAACCTTCTTTCTGACAGTACTTACATCGGTTTCTTTTGTCACAGGCATAAAATATGACTCCATTTTTTCTCGAAAGAAAAGAATTTAGTTCACTGTGCCGATCCGATATTGTGCATCTTTTGCTCAAGCTTAGTGTGCTACATCACGGTTGGAGGAACTGGTGCATTGCAAAGACAGAAGCGTCATCAATAATATTCTGGTTGAATACTATTCCCTCCATTGCTCATTAAGCGCGGCGTGATCAAGTGTTATGATGACTGCTTCACTTACATGCGCCACGCTTCTTAACGTATGTTATTTTCGGATTCAGCAGTGCCAAAATACCCCAAATCAGTTGCAAAAATCTAAACAACATTCAAAAGTAAAAAATTGTTGGCCAGTGTAATAAATTGGGAAACGGTACCGGCGTACCTTCCGTTTTTTATTAGGTTTTTAGGACTAATAAAAGCTGATAGCACATTAGCGACAACAACAATCTTCCACCACTGAAGCAGTAGACCAATGAGTCGTTTTGTCATTTTCCTTATTATATCATAACATATTTATTGTGTTTGTGTCAGTTATGCATATATATTTAAAAAAGACAGTTTACGCTGTTACGCCACATTATGGAATGCCTTCAAAAGAATAGTCCTAAAAGTTTCATATCATAAGTATCAGGTCACAGTAAGAGCGTTTCTCGGATTATCGATAAAAAAAAGTGAGCTGCTGGCTGCGAAACGAAATTCATAGGTTCATGATCTGACATGAATATATACACAAAGTATTTTAATGATTTATTTCACCCTGTTTTTCTGATTCCACCGCCTGAACTTCTTTGTACAGTACAATGTAAGGAGCCAATTTTAATCTCATCGAAGTGTGCAAACTGTCTTCTGTGAGGTGGCAGCGATGTTTACCTTTGATGTAGTTCCATCATCGTATTATCGCCATTGTATTACGTAATACCTAATAATCACATTTGTTTTGCGTATATTACTGCTTCACGAATAGATGCTACGGATGTTTCCCCGAGCATCGATTTTCTTCATCTCCGCAATAAGTTAACAATAACCTAACATGCAATTCAAGAGTCCTGCTGCACACTAACACAAATATATTTCTGTAACGTTTCGTCTGACCAAAATCAGACTTCCTCAGACAAGCAGTTTACAACAATGACAAGAAAAGAGCAATCATGCAGTTTAAATATGGCGATAAATAAATTTGTTTAAAATTAATTGTGACCAAACAAATAATAACCTAACAATTCGAATTAATGTCGCCGCTCGGACACCTTTTTCGCTCGGGCAGATATTCAAGCGTGGTTGTGAACATTGCCTCTTTTGGTAGTTTTGCGTATTATTTGTCAGTTTTTAATTATGTTTCCAAAAAATAGTTGTAAATCAAACAAATAACTTAATTGTCATTATGTCATTCGGGGACCTTTAGTTTAGTTGCAATAATCAAAAATTGACACCGCAAACTCTGCGAAAAACTAGCATAAAATAAGCCATCAGTACCTATAAGCGGCACGTGGTTTATTGTTTGAATAGAAATGAAATATTTGAACATGTGAGCCAGTTTGTAAGTGCCAACACCCCCAAACAGCTTCAAAACCAGCGTTTAAAATTTTGCAATGATATATTATAGGGGTCAAGGGTCGGGATGAAATGTCGGTATACATGAAGCAAAATTACATTTCAAGATTCACACGGTACCAAATGTAGCAATGGTAAAATATTTTTCGACACAGACCTAGGCTATTTACAGTATGGGGATAAGGAGACTACCAGGTATGTTTATAATATATTAAATATAGGCTACGAGTCCTGTACTTGAGGTACGGTACGAAATTACGTGAGACCCAAATATAGAGCTACTGCTGTACTGTTAGACTGTGCTGTTTTTAACATGAGTACCGGTACCGGTACTGTTGCAGTATTGTTAGCATAATCAAACATTTTTATTATTTCAGTATTTAGTTTAATATCTCAAAAATATGAGTAGAAAGCAAACACCTAGTGACTTTTTGAAACAAATTATTGGCAGACCAGTGGTCGTCAAGTTAAATTCTGGTGTAGATTACAGGGGAGTATTGGCATGTCTAGATGGATACATGAACATTGCATTGGAACAAACTGAAGAATATGTGAATGGACAACTTAAAAATAAGTATGGCGATGCGTTCATTCGAGGAAACAATGTATTTTATATCAGTACACAAAAGCGAAGAGGAATGGCTTAATAGCAAAGTCTCTATACAAATTTAACAATCATATCACAGAATCTGGAACAGTGATGGACAATAATGTATTACTTGTTTATTCGATTGTTTGATATTTTTATATTTTGAGTTACCCTGCCCTATGATGTTCAAACAAAATCGAAAGTTCTTGCTCTTCGAAAGATTATTTTGAAATTTAGATATTTCAAATTAAATATTTTTTTTGTCACCTTTGCATTAAAATAAATACTACCATCATGATTTTTTCTGTGAATTAAATTCGAAATTATGTGCGAGATGCAATATGTAACTATTCAGATACAAACTTCCCCGTTCTTATGTATAAATTGCATCACATGAGTGACAATCCACATGTAGTCCAACATTATGGGAAGTATTTATATGTGAGGCCTATGAAGTTGAAAATGTCAAACAAGCAAATGTAGCAATTAATATAATACAAATATGCACTCCTGTTGACTATTCAAAATCCAGACATTCGGGAATATGATTGTTTATCTTCGTGAATATTTGATTACTAATTTGGTGATGAAATCATGTGACCACAGTATTGCTGTTGCTTATCTTCATGCTGGAATTTTATTGAGTCTTGTTTTGATTTCTTCGATTATTTTCATGTTTTTACCTGGCCCTTTGCACCTTCATAACCTCCATCATTTTCGCTGCACCCTATCAAACAGTGGAATATTGTAACAAATTAATGAATATACATTTCCCAATTGGCTAGGATATTTTATTGTCAACATGACTTGTATCCCTCCATGAAATTGTGGACAAATTGAGGTGACTCATTTTAATGTAAGCCTGGAATGAAATTTTTTTCTGTTTTCATTTGACCAGTCAGTGGTTTGGGTTCCAAAATTTTTTGTAGCTGACAATTCATTTTGATAGTCAGAACAAGAGAATGTCTACTATGAACATTTGTACATTGCATCCATAGATGATAGTACAGTTATACTCCACTCCCCAGGATATAATCCTATATTTATGTGTAGTGTCTAAGTAGCATTCTTAGTTTTGTATTCTATATTGTGCCGCTGTAATCAGTATATTTGTTATTTGTAGATAATTTGGATTATATTGCCTTTTAGACTTGTTTTAAGCAATTAATGCATTTTTACCTTTGTCATGGACAAATTGACTGAAAGTGGTCGTATATCATTACAGGAATTTCTTAACGGTTGCAGCAAAATCTGCTGCTCTTCCGGCTGGGTTTTGCAACATAAAGATGGTTATGATCCATACATGAAGAACATATTTCATAAAGTCATGTCTGGTAATAATGACAAGCAAGATGATCAAATGAGTGAATTTGACAATGGACTGAGAGACATTGATAATACCAAATTGCAAAATATTTGTGATGAATATCTTACTTACGAATGCCATGTCATTTTCAGTCATAGTTACTCTACACCTGTGCTGTATTTTATAGTTCACAATTCAAATGGAAAAATGCTGACATTACAAGAAGTTTGGTCAGAGTGTGGCAATTACAATTTTAATGAGAAATGGGATTTCATTACTCAAGTAGAACATCCCACTTTATTGATGCCGTATTACCAGTTGCACCCATGTCATACCGCTGAATTTATGAAACCTCTTCAAGATATGCAAAGTTATTCAGATAAACAAAAACACTTTTCCAATTTCAACTATGTTCATGCATGGTTAAGCATTATACTTCCAGTTATTGGGCTTTCATTAGTTTGAGATTCTGTTATTTTTTTGTTTATAGAACATCAATGTTATGAGTATTATGTTAGGTTTTGGATAGATTTGTAATATGCTGATAAGAAGTAGGTTGCCTTTGCTTTGTGCTAAAGCTTTCAATGCTTCAAGATGCACCTCTGCTGCAATTTCAAGATGGCCAGAAAATCATAAAATTTATTTGGGAAGTTCAACTGCCAGCCATAGAAGAATAACCTATTCCTTCCGAGCTTATGTCACAACAACCAGGATGTTCTCATCAGATGGGAATTCGGGCTTCACTGAAAATGAAGAAGCAAAGTCAAGAAAAGATGGAGACCACAATGCTGAAAATGGAAAATGTGAGGATGATATAAGGGTTGAAATATTGGAAAATGCATTGAATTATGTTTCGACGCAGGGGTGGACTAGGGAAGCGCTATCTCTAGGTGCTCAGGAAGCTGGGTATCCAAGTGTCACAGAAGGAATGTTTAGCCGAGGTGAAGTAGACCTTGTGTTATACCTAGTGAAATCCAATAATACAAATCTATTGACACATATGGAAGAAATACTCGATGCACAGGAGGGCGAGAAGATAAGAATCAGTGAATTTATTAGAGATGTTTTGGAGTACAGACTTCGAATGATCATTCCTTATATAGAAGTATGGTCAGATGCCATGGCTATTTTATTGCGCCCAACTGTTTTTGTGGAAGCAACACAAGAGCTTGGGAAAATGGTAGATGATATTTGGTTTTATGCTGAGGATACATCCACAGATTTCAATTGGTATACAAAAAGGGCACTTTTGGCAAAACTTTTTCTAACTACACAAACTGTCATGGTGAATGATCAATCTCCCGATTTTGCAGACACATGGAAATTTTTGGATCGGAGGTAGGTATGACTTATAGAAAGTTAGAATATGGTAATTTAAAACTGTTTCACTAATACCCTCTGTTTAACAGGATGAGTGACATAGCAACAATTGGCAAAGTCTCAAGTTCTCTGCAAAAAAATGGCAAAATGGCTGGTGATGTGGCGTTTGCCGGATTCACGGTTTTGAGAAATGTGACGGGTTTTGGCGATAGAAGGCGTTGAAGAATTCTGCAAACGAGATTTGATTCAACTTGTCTGGGTGGAAAATATATGCCTTACTAAATGGCATTGACTGATTGGAGAAAAATATTTTCTTTTTTTTAGTGTTTATTATGTGATTTCGCAGCCAAATTATGACCATTCATTTTCTTGTAGCATGTTTTTTTTTATTTATGATCAATTTAAAAAATGTATTGTTTCTGTCTGCATAAAACATGACTGGTTGGGAGTAGATATGTATCGGCAATATCGGACATTTTTTCGGTATCTGCTGAATGTGGATGGATATATTTAGGTTTTTAATCTGATCCAAACTTATTACTGTACCATGAACTGTGAGCATTGATTTCAATGATGATTTAAGCATTTTAATCACAAATATTTTATGTTCTGGAATACCTGTTCGTCAAGCTAAATTTACAGGGGTTCTTTATGAATGCAAATTGAAAATCAGCGTAAATTTTCACTGATCTAGTGTTAACAGAAAAAAGGTTGAGAACCCCTGAGCTAAAATAATGATAACTGGGAATGTAGTTCGGAGACAACTATTTTATCATGTCTGTCCCTTACAATCAAGATGATAGTCAAATGTTATCGGAATATCAGCGTGTAGATATCGGTCTGTATCGGCGATAGAAGTGGTATCGGTATATCTTTAATGCATGTATGCTCATTCAATTTTTTTTAATTTGGAAAATATTTTTTATAAATAGCCATTACAACAAAATACTTTTATAAATAGTAATTGCAATAGTTCAATCCGGTATATTTCACCATACACCAATTTTCACAACCTTGGGACAAGTAGGAAACGGTGGGGCACGACATTTTCGAGACTGAGATCTGTACAAGTGGGAATTTGCAACCTCCGACATAATGCCCGCGAACATCTGCACTTTTCTGAACATTTACATTCAAACCCACTGAAGTTTTACCTACGGATATTTGCACCATTGTGCATTTTTGAACAGCAAAACATGATTTGGGTTCTTTTTTTTTAATGTCCGTGCAAACTAAATTTTGAGTAGCGGTAGCTCGCTTTGCTGGTGTATTACCAACTTGCTCATCTCCAGAAATTCCTATATCACCAGAAATCCACAGCGGAGTGACTTTTCGCTTCCCCATGTCGATAATTTGGGAATATGCGGTCTTGGTGTTAATAATGAAATAATCTGTGGAGGGTTGAATAGATTCTTTGACGCAGGGGTCGGCAAGCTACGTCCCCGGCCCGCGACGCTTCACTGAATTATATTAACAAAACAACTGTATTGACGATTATATTCTTTACGTGACAGAGTTTGTTTTGAGACATTATATAATAACTTAACAAGTATATAATTCACAATCACTCGTTTAATGAGCCTATAATTGATTATAATTAGACAAATGGCAATAGAACGTAAAAAAGTTGATGCTTAGTGCAAATGATTCAATGACGCAGAAAATATTCAAATGATCAGTCTTCACTCACTGCTTGAAATTTAACTGAAATCTGTGTGAAAAAATGTGATTCGTTGGCCATTTCTTCGGTTTTTAACTTTCTAAAAATATGTGCGGCCTGCCAATGACTTGCAACCTTTAATTTTGGCCCGCGAACGACAAAAGTTTGCCGACCCCTGCTTTAACGTACTTTGGGAATCTGATGTAATGTCGGATTCTTATATATATATTTATCTTTCATGGGTGAAAATGACCGGAGAATGGGAAAAATCATCTATACTCCGAACTTCAGCTATAGTGCAAGTCTGTAAGATCAATATAAGGGCAATCATAATTCCAGTATGGTAACGGTATTTTTCTTTAATTCGTTAAAATATATACTGAAGACGTCACAGGTGACCTATATTAAATGAGTTAAATGGCGGGAGGTCTGGAATTGATGTATATCTTATGAGTTTTTGATTAAGGAGTGAGTGGGATTACTATGAACTACATTGGTAAATGGCATTTCGAACATAAGACATCATTTCATACGCTGTTGGACATGCAGTGACTTTTCTCTTGACGCCGCGTGCAATGGGACCTGATGGTGAGTCACAACGATTCCTCAATTGATTTCAATATTCATGATCGGATTTAGACATTTCATTATGGTGATTATGGCAATGTACCTTCATCTGATCCCATGGGCGAGCCTGTGGGAAGGCCACGGGGACAGCAGATTCAAGCTGTAGAGTTCGCGTTATTAGTATTACACATAATTGCTAGATGTGTTTTTATTTAATAAGTAAATCTGACGGGACTCGTTCGTCGGCTCGGTGAAATGTTCTCTTTTTTAGTAAAGCTGGACTAAATTGATGGAACATTTGGAAACCACGAAACGACGATAACAGAATTTTGCCAACTATTTAGAGACTGATTTGTCATCTACGAAGAAATCTTTGATCTCCTTACGCTTTCCGAAGTGGAAATAAAGCTTTTTCAAACAATGCGAAAGATTTTTCTTGCTTGGCTGGGATGTTTTTTTCAACTTTGTGCATTGCACATCATTTATTACTCACAATTAGCTGCTCAATTACTAATTGTGAGCGATCTTTTTCAAAGTTAAAACAGATACATACAGTACAAACATATTTGAGGTCTTGGATGTCAAATCAGCGCCTGGCAAGTTTATCTATGGTTAGCATCGGCAAAAAATGACTTGCTTTTTGTTAATAAAGGAGTTTGGTAGAAACAGATTTCAACTGTGCTATATATATACATTATATATCTACTAAAATGATAAAATCTATCTCTAACAAAGTGACGACAATGGAATAATGTATTTTTGTCTTTAATAAAAAAATCTACAGAACAATATTTATTTGTCCTTAGACCATGAGTATTTGGCAGTTCCTTTAATCTTCGTCAACATTGCCGGGTTATTTTTTGCAATATCAAAAACTGTCTATAAGAAATGTCGTTAAAATTGTACACTAAAGTGAGTATACTAACAATAGACTCAAATAGAAAGTACTCGCGTTCTACCGACCATCGTGGTTACATTAAAGAGAAAATGCGCTCGACGTTGGCGTTATGCGCAATAATGCTGAAGTAATACAAATACAGTACGAACTTTATCAGTTCTATGTAGAAGTCGCAGTTTTAGCTGCTGGTTTTCAAATATTCTGTCCATCTTGCATGTGCCCTGAGTTTACAGTAGGAAACTGAATTGGATTGAAATTGCTTTCTACGTACTTGCATAAGTTTTGGAAGTGGTCGACCAACTTGGCTTCATCAATCGAAACATTTTTCTCAAGAAAATACTCAACGCACGGTTAAACATTTTTCCAGTCGGTGTTTTGGATCAGAAGCATCCAGCCAAAGCATTTGAATTCCTCGAACGAAGCTGTCCATTTTTCGAGGTATTCTGGGCAAGACTCGTACAACAGGACTACATCCAAGCGAAACATATCTCACATTCCAGCCCTTTCTCTCTAAGTCTACGCATTTCAGATTTAATTTGGGTTTGTATGAACATCTTTTCTCAATGGTAGATTTAACGGCATCAAGACAAGATTTGATTTCAATAATGGAAATCTTTAAATGTTCAAGATGCCTAATTTGTATATTAAACACAGCAACAAACGTAGATAGTTGTTTATTTTGAAAACTTTATAACACACCCAAATTGAAAAAGGGAGAATTCTAGGAAGCCAACAAAAAAAGTTTGAAACATTAGAAATATTATGTGCCAGCCCACCAGCGCACACAAAAAATTTACAAAACACACAAACTAATTAAACGAGGCTTGGGTCAGAACTGGACAGACAAAAGATACGCGAATGTAATGAACTTTCGGGCTGTTGAACTTTTAAAAGCTGATAATAACTCAAGCTAATACAGTAATGATAACTAATTCAATATCTGTACATGCCTTAATTTAAATGTCTCGAAAAGATGGAAATATAAACAAAAGCAAATGTTTTAAAATACAACTCACAGGATTATCATAAAATCTTTTTAGAGCAAAAGATGGCTTTTCAATAGACCGGAATATAATTGCAAGGCAGGGTAAATCTGAAGCATTCTAGATAAACTTGTATAGAGTGATTTCCACTGGAGTGATCTCACGCAGTGGGAAAATAGTTTTTTTATACTCTGTTTTATTAACAAAGTTACAATAATCCTTCAGATATTTGGTGCGTACAGTGTATATGCAGAAATACTGGTACGTTTTGTAAATAATATTTTCCACGTCAATGCTCATCTGATTGGTTCCATGATCTAAAAAGTTATTCAAAACGTGTGCAGGGAAGCCCACCGCAATCAATGCTTCTCTAACAGCTGTTTTATGTTTGTGGCGCATCGTGCTATAGGCATTAGAAGGGATACCCTCGCAACCGCACCTCGATTACCCGGTACTCTATTAGTGTGTGTACCAGATTAGGGTTAGTTAGGCCATAATTTTATATTAATTTTTTAATTCTTCAAACAAGTTTATAACAGTGCTCGTCAACCGGGTGTATATAGTATACCTCGGGGTGTACCGCATTTATAAGGTGTACAGGGGTGTACCCAGTAGTGGGATTCAGCCGGTTCGCACCGATTCTATAGAACCGTCTCACGGGATTTTATGAGATCAGCAAACCGGTTAGTATTACATGACTTTTTGTAACAGAGCCGCCTAAAAATATGACATTTGTATGATGGAACCGGTTGACAAAAAAATTGAATCCCACCACTGGGTGTACCGAATGTAATAAGGTATACATTAATACATGACATGCTATTTTCAAATGTATTTGAAGAAAATTGACAACTCGTCATATACAAATAACGAGTATGCGTTTAAACTTATGCACAATGAATCAGGCGTTTTCAAAGTTTTTGTTATGTATGTATGTTTATTCGTCTCGTAAAAGCAATATAAAAGAGTAAGTACTTATAAATACTGAAGACGGGATGTATGCACAAGACCATATTGGCCTAAAACACAGATGTGCGGCATACACCCCTTTGATTTATATAAATTTTAATAGGGTAAATCAAATATGTACAATATGGTCCTTTATACAGGCAGTTGTGCGAGGAGGGTGGGTGGATGCGGTAACAGGGATATGGGTGGAGTGTACAAAACTGTTTGTACAAAGGAGTTTGTTAGACAAAACAACATCTATAAATAGAGACACAACACAACATGAAACACAATGCATATGAATATAGTAATAAAAAAATTTTTCTAAAAAAAAAAAAAATTAAGAATTTGGATGAATGTACAGTACAATACCATTGAGTGATGATACCACATACTATAAAACGCGGGAATGGTCAAGTTTAAAGGGTGTGTACATATATGGTATGCACCACTCAAGGGCGACAGTGTTATAAGTGGTCTATGGCTGTTCTGGCCAAAATGTGACCCTACAGGTTTTGGCGAAATATGATAATAAAGGTATGTATCAAATGACTCACTATTATAAGGTTTTTTTTGAAATTCTGGATTCAGCCAAAAACAATGAAGTTTCAAAAAAAAAATAAAAAAAATTAATAAAAAGCATTTCCACAAAACCTATTATGGTTGCATTTCAGCCAGAAGATTAGAAAGGTATAAAGGTACAGTGGGATAGGGAATGATAAGTTATAAAGAGAAGCCATTTTACCATGTCATGGATTTTCCAATGTAAATTAAAATAATAAAATTATATGGTATCCCGGGATGAGCAGAAGAAAAAGTGGTAGCAACAATGGAAATAAATTGAACAGCATGCTACTCAAACAAAAACCATTGTCCCTACTCCCTACTATTTGAGCATTCTATCTATAACCTAAATTGCTGTGCTTTTGTTGTTGTCTAATTACGCATGATAATGAAATTAGAATGGTGTGCTAGTTATTAATTCAGTCCATTGTTCTATATTGAATCCGGGTGAAGTATCCTGTGGAGTTATTGAAATTGTCAGCTGGTCTATGGTGACTGAAGAGGAGGACAGTTTCCTGATAGTTCATTCAATCCAAATAATCAACAGCTCTCCCTTTCAGTGTTGAACTGACCTTAAAAAAATAATCTCCAAACAGTAACATGTTCAAAGCAGAGAAAATTGCTAATATGATGATAATATATATTGTTTAAGTTTGGAACGAAATTCTGAGTTCGATTTTGAATTTTTGATGTCATCGGGTAGGGAATTCCAAGCTTTTGGTCCACATACTGCGATTGATTCTTGTGAAATACTTTTACTTACAAATGGAATAAAAAAATTATCTTTATTTCTGCTGTTTGAATTTGGGTTTGCTTGGAACAGGCTGTTCAGGCTGGTCGGAAGCTCTCCAATGTGACAAGAGAACATCATATTACATAGTTCGAATTTAGCTAAATCCACAACTCGTAGTAGCCTATGCTCTTTAAATAAGTCATCAATTTTTTCGCGATTACCTCTATGAAAAACTCTTCTAATAAAGCGATTGCAAACACTTTGAATTTTTTTGAGAATGGACGATTGGCGATGAACATAAGCTGAGGCACAATAACGAATATGGCTTTCTATCAGAGAGTGGTATAGAGATATTAAACAAGATGTAATTAAGTAGTTGGCTATTTTCGTAATGGCACTAAGAGACGACCTTGTTTTCGATAGAACCATATTGGTGTGTTGTTTCCAAGACAATTTATCATCGATCATTACACCCAGAAAGCGAGTCTGATTAACTCTTTCTATATTTATTCCATTTAATTCCAAATTTTGTTGCAGAGTTGGACACTTTTGCTTCGGCGTGCTAAATATCATATATTTAGTTTTATCGACATTAATAGTGAGTTTGTTCGCAGACAACCAAGCTTGAATATTTTCTAAGTCGGTATTTGCCTTGGTCAAAAGTTCAGGCAAGTTTTTGCCTCGAAGATATGGCGTTGAGTCATCAGCAAAAAGTATGATATCAGAGTGAAGAAGAGAATTCGGAAAGTCGTTAATAATGATTGAAAAACATAATGGAGCCAAAATAGAACCTTGTAAAGTACCTACAGTCAAATTACAGTATGTGCTAGATGCTACATCATTGTATATAACTACTTGTTTCCTTCCTGATAAGTAGCTTTTAAACCAATTATAACTCTGACCTCTAACGCCAATATGGTGCAATTTGGCTAGTAATATGTCATGGTCAATACTATCAAATGCCTTGGAAAGGTCCAAGAACATACTGAGAGTATACTCATTCTTATCAAATCCTTCTAGAATTTTACTGACAAGCAGGGATGTTGCATGAGATGTTGAATGATTTTGACGAAAGCCAAATTGTTGTGGATAAAAGAAATTTTTTTGGTCTAGGAAATGGTTGAGTCGTTTGTACATAATTTTTTCTAGAATTTTTGAATCTACTTGGTATAATGCCTTTAAATTGAGGAAATGTCATTCGGTTTTGAATTTTCCTACCATATTATTCTCGAGAAAGTCAATTCTGTTGTTGTTGTGGAGATCCTCCGTGGTGTAGGCTACTTTTTGAATCACTGTCAGATTGAATCATAAAGGGTAAGGCTCAAATATTTGAAAACTGTAACAAAAGTCTTGGCGACAGACTGGCAGTACTAGAGGTTTCTGGGTACTACAGTCTTGCACACAAGCTGTTTTCATTCTCATCAGATTGCCTACAATATAGCTGTCCGAACAAAGGTTTTTTGCTCTTATAGAAATAATGAACAGGAATACAATTGAGGATTCATTTTATATTAATGAGAGGGGCACTTGAATTAAGGTTATTACCTCACTCTGTACAACGTTCGCATTAGACAAATAACCAAATATTGCGTCGGTATAAACATGTATATCTTCTAAATATTGTGTGTTCTGGTCTATTAAAAATCTAGTATAGGTGGAGACGTGGAGTGTACCAGATTTTGAATGAAGGGTGTACCACTTCAAAAAAGGTTGACGAGCACTGGTCTATTAGCAGACTTTTAAAATATTATATAGGCTCAAGTGTGATTCGTGATCATGGCGTGATTGTTTCGGCCATCCATCAACTTCGTGTTATTTTTGACAAACTCGAAAGCTTCTGTACGATCACCGTCGACGAGACGCTGAGGAAAATAATAGGACTGAATTTGCAACCCAAATTAGCTTCTTTTTGACTATTATCTTTCGTGTCGGTTTTGATCGTGCTTATCGCCACCGTAAAATAAAAAAAAGTTAACAATATCTATGCTACTGGCTGCGAATCGGTTGAAAATTCTGATAAAATTGACACAATGACATTTCAACATATTCAAATTAATATATCCGTTGGTAAATCGTAGAAATGTTACTTAATTAGGAACTTGTATCGTAGTAGTATATATTTACGCTTGTATTGATGATTCTAAATTTACAAAAAGGCCTACTGAGCCGTTGTTGAAATTCAAGAGACATTGGCGCACATTGTGCCCATCCATGAATTGAAACAATATCATATCCACACGAAATAAATAAAAAACATTACAAGGCAAATATTACACTCAATTTTACAGTCATTGTCTGTTAGCGAAACATGTGTGCAGATTCTCGTGTTTCCGTCAGAAATCGACAAGTGCGTGTTGCTGTCCAAGATTTTAGTTCAGCGACGAGCAAGTGCTTTGTCCAGGTCACGTGCCACCAGGTATTATAAAAGTAAACTGCTACTCTACTACTAATATTCAAGACAATATTCGGAAATTTTTCCCAGCCACACCCTAAACTTACTTTTTGAAAATTCTACCTTAGATCAGAATTTGGGTGGTGTTCAAGTTTAGTAAAAACGTTTGCGTCCCGCAATGGATTTCCCCATGAAAAAGTGACCCGCGACACTAAAAAGGTCGGGCAGGCCTGCCGTACGCTATCGCAATGCTTGTCATATGCATAATAACAATTACAAGTCTCTACTTACTTTAAATTTTTCCTAACACGTCAAAAACTTTTGATTATATCAAGAGAATTTTAAATATTTAATCCCGTGAGAAAGGAGGACAATTTGACATTTTAGAGCGTCCTCGGAGGATGTAAATTCCTATCGAAAAAGGAGGACATATACTCCATATTGAGGAGGTACGCTCACCCTGCATATAACAATGAATCAGTATGGTAATAAGATTAATGCCATTGACAAACATAACTCTCTCGGAGTTTAGAACCCCCGGTAAGATTCTCCGTTGTATTATAAACGTTTTATTAAACCAGCACGAAGCAATATGAATATCAAAACGAATCGGTACTTACAAGCAACGACCGCACTCGTTACGTTTGATCTCGAGGCTAATTTTGTTGAGATGTTTTTTTTATATCCAGCATTGCCTATTTGTTCACAACCGAGCAGCCGTTCAATCGAAGTTTAATCCATATAGTGGGCCCTTCTATAAAAGTGCTCTTATACTTTTATTCATTTGTTTCATTCATTTTATTCACAACTACGTTTACTGAGCTTGCATTCACCCAAGGCGTTCCGACAGCTCCTTTAGGGGGAGACATAGAAATGACATAACCTCCTGAAACGGAACCAATTGACCAAATTGGAGAATGGAGATACTGAATAAAAATAAACTACAACCTGCCCATTAATTCTATTGACTAGCACTTAACCTCAATGAACATTCCATATTTATGTTGCAGGTTGGCCATGCATCCCATATGTTATATTTATATAATAAGATTTAATTATCTATAAAAGCACTGAATATATGAGAATATAATGAGAACCCAGATAAGGAATGTAGCAAGGCGAAATCGGTCACATGATTCCATAATAGTAGGGCTTCAATTGGACTATATTTGAGAATGTCAGAGAGCAGCCTGACAATGTATCTGTCCAGCAATGATCATTGGTCATTCACATTTAGTTTTATATCATGCTAATCCAAAGTCTTCTAATATACTACGTGTTGCTTCAGCTTCCTGATACTCTTCCTGCATAGCATCAGCGGACTCAACTGCTTGCAAAACTTTCTTTTTGGAAGATTCTTGTATCTCACCTAAAAATAGCATTTGCATTAATACACACCAACGTAAATATTAAAAGGATCTCGGACTGTAAAAATATGCTATATAAAACAATGAACCAATATTTAGTGGGTAGTATCGATGTTAGATATGTTAGATTTAGCTCTATACCAGTATACACTTGAAACATCAATTTAGCAATTTTCAGCTTACATCAGATGGATTATCTCAGCTCAGAAGAGTGAATATCCAACAAAATTGCAGAATACTTGCGACATTGAAAATAAAAGAATACATATGAGCAATGGAAGACCATATGGATTTGTTCCTATGGATGAACTTGGACGTGAACAAAGTCAAAACTCAGAAGTAGCAAGTAATAATGTGTACTACTCAATTATATTGAATTGAAGATTCCACATAATCATTGTCAACTAACACCTTTGACTAACTTGCAGCATTATGATTACCGCTAAGTCTCAATATATGTCATATACATAAACATTTTTATTTAACACAAAAATAGATAAATGCATACATGCGACTTAGCTTGAGAAAATTCTGATTCAATGAAAAATTAATTATTAAATTGCCACTGCCGTTTTTTTAGATCAAGTTCAACAACAATACTTTCAACGTAAGTAGTATGTGTTTTAATAATATTCTGTAAAAATTTGATCAAATATGGAAGCCATCCACTGAAATTGATTACATAGAACTAATAGCATCCCAGTCCCAGTGGTTTCTAACTTTTTTCGTCAAATTCCTCCCTTCGCCTATTTTGAAACTCCGCATTCCTCCCTCAATATGCTAAAAACTATTTATTTATTTCATCTTGAATGTACCCTTATTCCCTAGTAGTAATATTTGCGAGATGCACTCCCTGCACTCTCGTGTTTGTACCCTTGCTTGAGCCTTTGATTAAACATTTCACAACATCCAATTTAGTTGAAACAAGTTTTGTATGATTTCACCAAAATGCCATATTAAAGTGCTCACCTGCCAATATGAATTCATCCAGTATATAATAAGCCTTCTCAAAATTAAAAATTATATCAAGTTCGCAAACGCTTCCAAAGTATTTGTCAAGAATTTCAACATATCTGTGGATAACTTCTAATGTCAAAAGCTCATTATCAAAGTCTTCGATTGCACAGCAAAAAAACAATGATGCATATCTTTTATACACAATCTAAATGAAACACAATATATTAATGGTCAATTCTGATATTTTAAGTATCAAAAATATATATGACCACTGGATAAAAAAAAAGAGGTGACATAACCAACATATAGAGAACACCACCAGGAACTGACATTAATAAACACTGATTTTTTGGTAATAAATAGATAAGATATATATATGTCCATGATCTTTATTCTTAGTAGTTCTGCACAATTTCCTACTCTGATCAGATAGGATAAATAATTTCTGGATTGCTGTTCAAATGTTGGCCACAACATCCCACAATTCTATGACTTACTGGATTAATTCCTCGAAGAATCAAGGAACACGAGGCTTTTGTTTTCAGAATAATTATGAAATATAAATTGAATAATAAAACAATATACTGCAGAAAGTATCTTCATCATGACCTATACAGGTGTGGAAGGTATGTTAGCATATGTACTTCGGCACTTACCTTCAAATCTTTCCAGTCCAAAAAGTTGCACATTTTTGGACGTCTTGCGAGAATGATTGAGACCAATTCTCTTACAATTTTTTTTCTCTCTTTATCACCAATTGCATTGAACCATTTTTGAAGACGCACCTTGCCTTGGCGACTGAATAATAGCATGAATTTAATCATGATCCAACCGTTGTTAGGTTAACTAGATACTAAAATATAAATGTATTGAAAAAATTAATCAAATCGAAAACATTCTCACATAACGGTAGTACATAGTAAAGGTAAACAGACTTCAAAACAAGAGATGACATGAGACAGTTTATAAGTATCATTTTCAGTTGCCTTCGTAGTTGCTAAATCTGTAAATATCAATTTTGTACAAATACATGTGGATTTGTGGGCATAGTTAGAGTGGGTCCTATGTAGTTTCATACCTAACATACTTTTAGTGGGCGTAGCACAGGGGTCTCAAACTCAATTTACTTGGGGGCCGCTGGGGCAGAGTCTGGATGAGTCCGGGCCGCATCAGGTTTTTCACAATAAAAGCTTAGAAACTCGTTTAAATTGTATTCCTTGTGCACTGCAACTTTAACTGTGCAGATAAAACATGTCGGGATGCTCCTATGCTCAACAAAGAAATATTGCATTTCCCAGTTAAAAATTCCATCTTGTAATAACTGTTGCTCTGATGTTTCAATCAAGCATTTAGCCGATGGACAGTGATGTTTCGCAACATGGTTACAATGTATCAAGATAGTGATTGTGACGTCAAAAATCATGGAACACTGTTTTTAAATTATTTCAGACGGTCCTGACTCCCGCGATCGAATATCAGGCCTACAGGTACTGAGGTATGGTACAGGTAGGTTACCGCACCACATATTCCTTTCAGGGGATAGATGATAAAATATTTTGTTTTGCCCTACGTGAGAGTTTCCTTTTTTTGGCCACGGAACACTTACACTTTTTATATCTCCTCGCGGAACACCAAAATATGAAAGGGTGAAATTGATTGACAAACTTCAAGCATTTAAAAGTAAAACCAGGTAGAGATGGAGGAAGAACGGGTGACCTTCTGCCTTTATTTTTTAGACTTACTTGTTTGTCTTTAACAAAACCAAAAGAAGTACTCTAAATTTGATAATGAAATTGACAGCCAAAAAGCTAAACCGACAAAAATGCCACCACCCTAACTTAGTAAGTCCACTTTAGGTCGACGGTGACGCGATCTTAAACGGTCAGTTGGGCAACAACTTCATGATTCTCAGATCGCCATGGCGACCAATTTAGATGTTTTTTTGATTCCTTTTCCACGCAACACTCGGGAGATGCTGGCGTAACATTAGTGTTCCGCGGAACACAGTTTGGGAAACGCTGTTATAATGGAAGCATTAATCATGCTAACTGATCTTTAAGTGACTTGCGGGCCGCACTAACATTAAACTTTTATACCAAGGCAGGGGCCACAAAATATCATCTCGCGGGCCGCAATTGGCCCGCCAGTTTGAGACCCCTGGCGTAGCATGACAATTTTTCATGTATCAATCCTAACCCCCACCTGATCTGACTACACCATCCAAAAATTACGTCATTACGACGTCACAGTGACGTAATACAGCCCTTCAAACTATACGAACTGCCATCCAGGACGCGCAAAAGAGCACCCGAAATCGAACAGTTATTTCTCTCGTTTCGGGCGATCGTACCGTACGTATACCGTATTTGGCAAGCTCTATGACGTGATTTTGATGTCGTAGTGACGTAATTTTTGTTGGCGTAGTCAGATGGGGGTTAGGATTGACATATCAAAAAATTGTTATGCTACGCCCGCTAGAAGTACGTTAGGTACGAAACTACACAAGACCAGGTACCTACCGCTACAGACCTAGGGCTGATATATTTATGCCAAAAACGTAATATTTAATATATTAACATATTAGTTATCATTCCTATGCCTTTCTAAACGAAGTCTGTGTTTCAACCCCCTTTTAATTTTTTCTTTCACCCTTGTTACATGATGGTGATAAATATTGGGTAAGTTGGAACGCTTTTCTTATGAATACAGTTTTGATGTATTTGGGGTTAGGTTTAGATTTAAGTAGATATAATTCCGCAAGATAAACTAAAATATTGTACATGACTTTGTGAATATACCTACCGGTAATAACGCGATAAAACCATGGCAAGAGACGCTGCGCTACGTTCGTGGCAGGAGCTGTCATGAAGTGATGAGAACAGACAACTGCGCCTCGTCACGGCAACTTGTACCGGTACCAGTTAAAAAGTCAGTCGGTTTGGTCATAGCGGCCATGGTTTGAAAATCCCGTCATGGTTTTGCGGCAGCTCTAGAAGCCACAAAATAATTGAAACTGCACTTGCGTTTGACGCTGCTTGAGCTGGCTGACTCATTCAGATTTGGCTCCATACTGACACCTTTTATTCCGGCAGGACCAACGACTAACATACGGGCAGGACAAGAGGATATGTAGTCTATATATTCTCATTGATATATACGGTACCGTGAGATAATAAGACCTAGTCAAAGGACGTCTCACCGACTCATTCAGATTTGGCTCCATACTGACACCTTTTATTTCGGCAGGACCAACGACTAACATACGGGCAGGACAAGAGGATATGTAGTCTATATATTCTCATTGATATATACGGTACCGTGAGATAATAAGACCTAGTCAAAGGACGTCTCACCGACCCTTGATCCTGGAAGATTCTTTCTAAACTTTATCATTACGCAATTTTCAACGCTGATTTTGAGAGTGTTGTGGAGAGTTGGGACTTACAAACTGGTTCACATGTTCAAAACTATCATTTTCATTCAAAACAATAAACCACGTGCCGCTTATTTAGTTGGGACTTACAAACTGGTTCACATGTTCAAAACTATCATTTTCATTCAAAACAATAAACCACGTGCCGCTTATAGGTACTCTTAGCTATTTTCAGGCTAGTCTATCGCAGCGTTTGCGGTATCAATTTTTGATTACTGTAACTAAACTAAATGTCCTCGGAATGGCAAATAACTTAAAACCCGACAAATAATACGCAAAACCACAAAACCGAGGCATTGTTTATTTACATTCTGAGAGAAAAAAGTGTCTGAGCAAGGCATAAATTCTAATTGTTACGTCATTGTTAAGATTCAGATATTTTATTTCCTTCGTGCATGAAATATTGTAGCGACACAAGTAATAAGTAAAAAAATGCTAACAAAAAGATCAATTGAAATAGAAAGACATACAATGTTTCCGCAATTGACGCGGGGCCGCGAAAGACTACCAGAGTCATCGTGTCAGCGACACCGTGTTTGCTGAGTTCAACAGCAGATGACGTCAAATAAAATCAACTAATTATTCTGTAACGAAAATGGAAATACAATTTGGCAAAATAAAATTGAGAGAGTCAGGAGATTACTGATCATAGGAGTCAGTTTAGCTTATTAACGTGAAAACAACATGACGCTACAAATTTCAGATAACAGAAGGGGGATTCCCAGAAGGGGGCAACTGCCAAGGGGAAAATATATTAGCAGTTTGGGGTGTATTAATAATATTTGGGCGAGAGAGAAAACCATTTCGAAGTTTTAGAAACAGTTAGAGTAATAAAGAATAATTGATAATTATTAATACATAATGGAGGAAATTAATCATCAAATATGCTTTTGTTTATATAAGTTTTATATATACCGGTACCGGTATATGCGAGTTGCAGTGGTACAGCAAAGAAATAACCGAATGCTCAGGATATTCAAAATTATACATCATAGAATAGTGATATTGACAATCCCGTTCGCATTGCAGCATTAACCCATTGCTGATTTAAGAGTGGCGCGAAAATAAACAAGAAAATCGATGCTCGGGGAAACAACCATAGCGAGAATTTTTTTTTGACCTAGTCGATAGCAAGAAATCTTTCCTACACGTTATGAATAAGCGGTTTGCAACCTACGGCCCGAGTTAAATAATCCGGCCCGCGACGCTTCCCGTAGTCATAGCGACAAAATGGCGGTTTCGGCGATGAATTAATTTTATATTCCACGTTATTCTGAACAAATTGCTGCCAACTTATGTGCTCGGGATTGCTTGACTCCTCGCCGCTGTAAGGTGATTCACGTAATCGCTGATCGGTCATGGCTTTATCCACCATCAAGTCCACGCGCCTGGAAACGAGTAACTGGCCAACCAATCACATACCCTATAATGAACTGGTGGTATCCGCAAATAAAACTCGAAATATTCCAATGCTTGTCGTAATTGGTGTATATTGAGAAATGTAAAATGAGGCCAATCAAATCAGGTCACATCATGCTCATCGCCTAAGCACCTAAGCAAAGGCTTCGAGAGTTGCCCAATACGATGGAATTGTAATCCGGGAATTTCGTGTGGCACATAAGAAATACCATAAAGATGGCTTTAATGAAAATCCACAATAAGATATTGTCATTTTCAAAATTTGCTGGAAATTCTGATAGAGATGTTTGGAATTTCCAAAAATCTTACACAGCATGCTGGGGCGTCGCAAGCAGTCACCGATATTTCGAAGAACCTCTCCGCAGACTTACCTCGCTATCCCAGTTATTCAACCTATACAAGCGCGCAATTTCGGTTGGTTAATTTGGAAGGAAAAGTGAATGGTATATATATATATATAAGCCAAAAACTTGGGTTATCAGTGAATTGGTCACGAGTAGAGCAAAATAGTGTTAATAAGATGGACGTATATTTATTTGAGTGTTAGTGAAAGATTTCGTGTTTGCATATATATATATATATTTCTCGGAGAATAAGAATCTCGATATCTTCCTAGTTCGGGTTACAGACCGAATATAAAAATGCATGCTGATGGGTAATATTTTCACAAACATACGCATTGGTGACTGAGAATCCGATCTGAGTGGCGCAAATTACTGCAAATCTTTGATCAAAATCTTTCCCACAAATTTTACATTTCAACCTCAATCATTATTGTATCTCAGTTCCAGTAGCCTAGAACAGTGCTCTTCAATCGGGTATACAGTATACCCATGTGTATACCGGACCATAAGCTGGGTATACAACTGATAAAGGGTATACGAAGGGTGTACAGCCGAAATCAGGGATTCTAAACTCTAATTTATTAAATTATAAAATATTCAAGCTTCGACAACAATGCGAACGCGGCGCACATGAAATATAAATGTCATTTTCGCAAAGAACCGACTTGAGCACATTTATCAATCACAAATTATATAAATAATGCGGTCACGTGTCTGGGTTGGTGATTTCGGCTCCCATGCACATGGCTTGATTTACGTTGAACATTATTCCCATTGACACTAAGGCCGCCAGTCAAATTGACAACGTTTACAACATGCGGATACTAGCCTATTAGATTGCATGATGATATTGCAGAGTTGCAGTACAATCTGAGCCCAAAATTCAATGTTTATTTAGGGCTTAAATAATCATTGGTATTTGTAAGGTATACAAAGTTCTTGAAAAATTGTAAAAGGTATACTACGGTAAAAAAGGTTGAAGAACACTGGCCTAGAAGATTTATCCGCGAAATATCTGACTATCTGCGTTGTTCTGTGGCCTTATTTTGTAGACAAAATCATGTTTCAAGTATATAATATATATAGAGAGACAGCTGACTCAATTTTCATCAAATTTAATATTACCTACTTTAATATACAACCATAATTTATTTACAAATTTTATCTTCAAACATCTGCAAATCCATTCCGGTCTTTACTGCAGAAATGTAAAATACCTCACACATCAATTTTCACAATGCTTTTGTACGTATGGCTTTCAGAAGTCTTTGATGGTATGTGCATTAATAAATGTGTATTACATATTTTGTTTTATAGTCATCCGTAACTGCAATAATTTTGTATAGCATTCATTGTAAATCTCAAAACTTTCCAAAAGCTACAGAGTGTGCACTTGGAGAATATAGCAATCATTATTATTATCAGTAACCTTTCGAGTATATATATATATATATCAATAATTCTTATGTGTTTAACTTAGCGTAAAATACCAAGCGTCGCCTAAAATTGAGACTCATCTTATGGCCGCCACTTTCATACATTTCCACCCCATTAAGCTTACTATTATGAAGATACATACATAATTAAGAAAATTCCATGAAATTAGATTGAATTTGAGAGGTGGACACATGTCCCAGTTTAGTCAGAACAATCCCGATTTTGTCCAGCTGTACAAGCCTCCCGCCCGGTATATCTAAATGTCCCGGCCATATAGTATGGCAGTCATAAATAATTTCTTTTCAATAAATATTACTACAGCATTCTCTTTAACAAAGACAGCCGATTCATCGCTGATTTGCCACTGACTTCCACTTGTCTAAAGAGGGAACTAGTATATCGCGACATTTGCCTATTGGCTGTTATTAGCCGAAGTGTCAAAAGTTTGAACTGTACATCTAAATTAATATCAATTTTGTGGGGACAGCCTAGATCTGAATTAGGAAGGACGTAATACAAGTGATTGTTAAACGCTTTGCTCCACTGTTTTTCTTTGAAATTTATGATAATTTACTTAAATATAAATGAAGCTTGTTCCAGTTATCGTTGGCTATTTTTCAGGTTGATGTTGGTGCGAAGAGGAAAATTACAGAATTTAGATATATTCCTGACATTTGATGAAGTTCGTAACTGCATTCAAAATGCCTTAGAGTCGTTAGAGATCCACTGCCTATTTGCGTAGAAGTAATAACGCTCAAAGTATTCTGTGATTTCTCGCAGGACGGATGTCCTACCAGTGATTTCCCTACACCCCCCTATAGGGGGTGAACACCCCCCCTAAAATTTCAAACACCCCCCCTAATTTTGAGGTGCGATTCCACACTTTATTTCCTAACTCAAGTATAATTGTATTCAAATACAAGAGAGCTATGCTCAAATATATGGACACGTAGACTCACATAATTTTGAAGACGTCATAGCGAAAAAAAAGTAATAGCCTTCTGGAGAAAATTTTTATCTTAAACCACTGAAAATTTCAAAGCAATTGGTCCAGTATTCGAAGAGAAAAGCGACTTTTTAAAAACGTGTCAAAGAACAAGAACAACAACATAATATTGAAACGATCGTTATGTCCACTACGTGTCCAATAACATGCGTCAACTTAACACCAGCCGAATCGGGGCACAATTTTTGGTACAGTGACTGTCATAGCCGTTTAGGGCTGATGGACAATTCGACTACACGGACAACTCACCAGGCCTAGGGTGGTGTAGCCAGTCTGCGGACAATTTCATTCAAACCGCTATAAAACAAATACCAATATATCTAACCCGTTAATTTTTTCACCGTGGGTGCATTGGCGGCATTTATTCTACACGCTAAACCTCGTATTAACTTTCTACGACAAAGGGTTAAGGCTATACAAATCCCCAAAGTACGGCACTCGAGAGACGTATTTGCGACCGAACGACCAGTGTGCGACCACGGATTTCAAGCCTTGATCATCGTTTCTGCTGCGTCGAGACTATCGCATACGCAGCCATACAGCAATCAAACAGA